GAATACCTATAAATAGAGAAAAATCTAATCATTCTCAATCTAATAATTGAGTGTGCCAGAATTTTTAATTCAACAATACCAGATTACAAAGCGTTTGCACTTCATAGTGGAAGTAAGGGTTTGTAATATTTCTAATGTAGACCCACTTTTACCACCTCTTGATAAATTTAACCGATAGATAAATTTGCGCTTTTAGCCAATGAGAGCGCTTAAAACCGCTGTAACCATGGTAATTATCTATCGGATAAATTTATCAAGAGGTGGTAAAAGTTTAATTAGTTTTCAAAAGATGCAGTACGTTAATAAGACATGAAATAATATATTATAAATATATTAAATATATATGTATTAATCACTAGATGTAGGTCTTCAGTGCAGAGAATCTTGAAGAAACATCAGTTCCACAACTACAAGTTCTCGTTAGTTCAAGACCTTCATCTTCAAAATACCTTCGCTGTCAAGAATATGAAAACTTTTTGAAACAAGTTATATGGACGGACAATTATGATGGATGGCAGGTTCTCTTAGGTCATTTATTACGGCGTTTTACCGGCAAGGCGTTACCTGAATTTGTTACGTACTGTGGTAGAAGATTTTCTCGACAACCTGTCTTTGAACTTGAGAAGAAGCTATTGGCATCAACTGGATGGAGCTCCGGCCCATTGAACCCAGGAAGTATCCCAAGAACTCACCTCAATATAAGTACCAAGGCTTTCACGGCCGGTGATAATTAAACTAAAACTAGAACTAACAGCACCACTATCACTAGAACTAATACTAGACCTAGACCTATAAACTTTCGGGTTAAGCCGTGCGTCTTTTGAAAAAATGTTTGACGTTTCGGATGACATATTGCAACCTTCTTCAGAAAGAAGATCGAAAGTGACTTCGAACAGGTGCATAAGGCGGTTAGGACCGTGGAACTAGCCGGCAAGATCTCCATATTTGACGCCTGTGGACTTTTACCTTAGGGGATGTATAAAACATCAGGTCTACCAGACACCGGTAAACATGAGGAAGCACGCGTGCGAGCACCATTCGACAGTTTTTCTCCTCAAGAAGTACGATGAGGGTGTTTCTTCACGTACAACACAGTGCTTGAATGCGAACGGCCACCATTTCGAACACTTATTGTAATTTGTTTCTAGCTTTTTATACCAATTTTTTGTCATTGGAAGTATATGTTGATAGCTTTTGGAGTTGGATATTACTAAAACTAGTCATCATATTGTGGCCCCTCGGCCGCAAGCGGCATTGGCTTTATCGGGTGTAGATCTTTTGACTAATTAAGCAGAGTTGCTTGCGGTCGAATCTCAGTGATGAAGATTATATCAACCTGAAACTGATCATGATGTTGTGGCGCCTCGGCTACAAGATGCCTCCGCAGTATTTTATCAGGTAAAATTGTAGATCTTTTGGCTAATTAAGTCATGGTCGCTTGCGGCCGAGGATCAGTAATTTAGATTATATGAACTTGAAACTGATGATAATGTTGTGGCCTTGCAAGCAGTAACGCAAAGCAAGCGGGCTTGACTCTACCAGGTAAAGTCTAATTCTGTTGTCTAATTAAGCCGAAGTCGCTTGCGGCTCAATGATTAATATTATATCAACTTGTTATAATGCCTCGACTTTATCAAATAAACTTATAGATCGTTTGACTAATGAAGTCATAGTTCCAACATCCCATATGAAATACAAACGCGAATACTTTTGGGCATTATATACGATACGCACTCCTTAAAATATAACAGAGAAATGAGCTCTGTAGATACCGACCAAGATCCATTTACAAATCCGTACATCAGTAGTCAACGTGTTTTCTTTTTAGATTTTATATAATAAATGTGTTCTAGCCCTTTTAGAGTTTTAAAACTGTAAAGGCTTGAATGAACTCAGCCAATGTGTTTTGACAATTGTAATTTCATGTTTAATAGTAAAATATGCAGAAGTTTTGTGTTGGTTTATTGGAATTTTGGGCTACATTCAATACACAAAACGACTGAAAGTTCCGGGTATGCAATTTGATGGAAATTTTAATAACTTAAAACTTTCATTTAACAACTTTATGGGTTTTTATTATGATTATAAATCCTTAAGCTAAGTGTCCACTTGCGAGAAATGCTCTCGAGTATATTTTCTGGTGGACACGCATCTGAGAGTAACAATCAGAGACTCCCCACAAACTTTCGGAGAGTAAACACATTGAGATTTGTACTCAAGTGGACACGCACAATTTATCTATCGTGAGAGTAACTGTCAAAAAACGAACACGGTTCGAATTTTACTGAGAATTTTCTCAATATAACACGTTTAAAGATAACACCTAAAAGGAAATGGTCCCAAGAAGAAATATTGGAATTAATTGAAGTGTATGAAGTGTGAAATTCAATTCTTTGGAATATCAAATCTAATGAACATAGAAATCGGGAAGCGAAGGATGCAATTTTAACAAGTATTGGACAGAAATTTTAACGGGATTTGCACCATTAGTAATAGTAACTTCTGACAACATAATTTGGTGTTCTGACAGTAAAATTAACTCTTCTGCTAAAAGTATTTGATTTTTAGTAGTAGTGTGTAGTCTTCTGTAAGAAGGATGTGCTTCATTTGCAATATCTACTTTTTCACTAGCAATACTTAGTCTTCTGCCAGCAATATCTAGTCTTTTGCAGCAATATCTAGTCTTCTACCAACAGTATTTCGTCTTCTGGTAGAAGTGTGCAGTCTTCTTTAAGAAGAATCTGCTTCGTTTGCAACATCTAGTCTTTCATTAGTAGTACTTAGTCTTCTGCCAGCAATATCTAGTCTCTTTCAGCAATTGAAGCGTTTAAGTTTATATTTTCTAATAATTTTCCAAAATACTGCCAAGCCACTATTAAGCTATCACGTGTACGACAATAAACTTATAGTTTGCATTTATAAGTGCCATTAAAGCAATCGAGTTCACTTTTTTGTGAATCCAGTATGCCAAATAACTAACAATTTGACAACGAATGTTGATATTTGTTGACACCCAGCTCTAATCTACGCCAAATCCATGATTTCACCCAACAGCTTCTTTTTATTTTTTTTTTTTTTAAATTTTGTACAACACTATTGCACTTGCAATTTTGTTTACATCCATGTTTACAAACACCAAGCACTGAAAGAAAATAAATTTTACTTTCCATAGCACGGACACATTTCACTAGTGGACACGGTCCTGAGAGAACTGTCTGGGAGAAAGCTCTCGGAAGTTTTATAGAAGCTCTCGGAGAGCTAAAACAGTCTCAAGTGGACACAGAGTTGAGAGTAGATATCGAGAGTTACTCTCAGAAGTTTCTCTCAAGTGGACACCTAGCTTTATATAACCGCAGTTATATTGCCAGTTTATATGCGAAAAGAAATATCAAAAGAAGAAAAAACAATGTAGTTCATTGTAATAAGTAATTATTAGGTAGTGGTGATAAAGTTTTAAAGTTTTTTTGTTATTGAATATGTTTCTTAATTTTGCGGCCCACTGTACTTATAAAATGTCATTTAAAAATTTATTATGACGATGTAAATAATGTGAAAATAAAAAGCAACTATAAAGCTGCCAGTTAGATATCCTCGCAATGCTTGCGAAGTATTCACATGTTTATTCTTGAAATAAGTGGAATATAACCAAGTCGTGTAACACTATATTTCAAATAAAATCAAGAACCCGTGCGACGATAGCAAGAAACTTTTACGCGTAATTTCCTATCTACTTTCTTAGCTGATATCTTCCTTATTATTAGAGACAGCGAGAAACTAAATGCACCACTTGAAAGCTGGAATCTTTTTCTATCTAAAACCGGGTGGTCTGGCGATAAGTTGATATCAAGATCAATAAAAAATGAAGAACACCGCTCTGTACTTAAAATAGCTCAAAATTACCAAATTTCAAGGCATTGTGTAATTGTTATAAAACCGAATTTTAAAAAACTGTTATCACAGTCAAAAAGAGCGCTCCTTCAACTATTTTAATCCGGGTTTTCGTCAATATCTATCGGTGTCATGCTGAAATCAACCTTAATATCCATCCCTACACGCAGAAACGCTTAAATACACTTCTTCTAAACAACTTCCTTATTTGATAGGGGGAAAACTATAGAAGTATATCTATCTTATCGAAAATTTCCTGCTCTTGCTAGTGGTGTATAACACGCGGCGATCACGCGCTTGCACAAGTACGTTTTTAGCCAAAAACTGCTAAATTCATACGTTTTAGCAATTTTTAAACCTTGTTCTGGCGATAACTTTCTTATATGAGCAGGATTTATTTGAGCCGGGTTTTAGATAGAGAAAGATTCAAGCTTTCGAGTGGTGCATTTAGTTTTTCGTTATCTCTAATAATAAGGAAATTATGGGTAAAAGTTTGTTGCTGGGATGTTTGTTGCTATCGCCACATGAGTAAATCAAGATATTTTTGAAGCACACTTGATATATANGGATTTATTTGAGCCGGGTTTTAGATAGAGAAAGATTCAAGCTTTCGAGTGGTGCATTTAGTTTTTCGTTATCTCTAATAATAAGGAAATTATGGGTAAAAGTTTGTTGCTGGGATGTTTGTTGCTATCGCCACATGAGTAAATCAAGATATTTTTGAAGCACAATTGATATATACTTCAATACAGTTGAAAAAGTTGTTTTAAAAGTTATTTCGCTTAAACCCTTTAATAATAATTAAGCCCTCTATTATTAGGCAGCAAAGAAACAGCTGTGACGTTCCCGAACGAATTCACCGGGAAAGACGCGCTCCGGTCAAATCACTTTTCCAAAAATTAATCCGGAATTACCCAATATCACGAAACCACCACCCCTGTAGACACCGACAAATTATAAACTTGCTAATTCATCCATTAAACTAAAAGACCTTTGTTCTATGTTGCGCGACGTTTCCCCATTCTTTATCTTCTATTTTTACACAATTACATCGACAATTAAGGTATAAAAACAAATTAAAAAAAAATTTGATTTACATCTAATCAATTTATTTACGTGACTTGTTCCAGTTTTTGAACATTTTGAAGATCTTTTTGTTGATTTTCTTGAACATTTTGTGTATTATGTTCCAATTTTTTTTGATTATTTTCTGTCATTAAATTAGATTGTTCAGTTACATGATAAACAACATCCTTTCGGTCGTCTTCGTCAAAATGACTCTTTAAGATGGTTTTATGTAAAATAACGTGTATTAAGCTGCATAATAACGCGAAAGTGCTGAAAATTTGGAACGTATATCTACCACCCAAATATTTATAAATAACCCCTCCTAAAATCCCTCCAATAGCATATCCTTAAATAAAAAATTTGATTGGAAAATCAAGATTTTAATTAAAACATTAACTCACCAAAACCGTCATCCATCCCAGCAGCAATTCCTTGTAAAGTGGCACTCATTCCAGGCGGGGCTATAACATTTGCGTATTCCACAATAGTCGTATATGTTAATGCGTAAGTGGGGCCTTGCATAAAGCATTCAATTAATAATATCCACCAAGGGTTTGGAACGATTGAAATTAATCCCAAGCGTAATGCGTAAAAAATAAAGCACATGGTGAATGTTTTTGTGTGCCCGAAACGTTCCAAAATTAAACCCCCGATATAAAAGAAGACCACCTCTCCAATTAAAGTTTCAGCCGCTACCGTTAACCCTTCGATTAATTTAATATTCAATGTACCGCTTGCTAGGGCTAAATCCTCGAGATACCAAAATAAGAAGAACACTATAAATCCATCGACTACTCCAGCACAAACAGAAAAAGATATGAATACGATGGTATCGCTGTTGTTTAGTAAGCGACCTAAATCTCTGAAGATGTTTTTGGGTGATTCGATTACAGGGAGCTATAAAAAAGATGTTAATCTCTAAAAGATGTAAAATTATTAAAAATTACCTTTAACTTAAAACAAGCTATTAAATCGAATAAAACAAAAATTAACATGCAGATTATTGCTGGTTTGTAAGATATTGCGTTGGTGGAGAAAAGATTGACGATGTAACCGGATATTAAGGCGGTCGAACCGAAACCTATTGTTCCCCAAACTCTTTGTTTTCCGTATTCGTGATCCAAACCTGAAATAAATATTAAAAATATAATAAAACTAATATTATTTTTATATATTAACATACAAATGATGTAATTACATGTTAATGTAATTACAATTAATACAATTAATGTAAATATATATGTTAATTAATACAAAATCTTGATTAATTTTTCTGCCAGATTATATAGTATCATCACCAATTTTTTTAATACAGTGTTTTTGGGTTCCAATAAGTGATCGAAATTTATATAGTTGGGGTTGATCAACGCATACAAGAATCTAAATATCTTTGATATAAGTTGTCTAAAATCTACATTAAACGAGACGAGCTTTGAGACACTTTGAGAAGAAATTTGAAGAAAACCAGTTCCAGCACTACAACCAATTAAAACCCAACAAGAAATTACTAAGGCCATTAAAAAGCTAAAAAATAATAAATCTTCGGGGCCTGACCACAGGAAGTTGCATTTGCAACGTTGAAAAATTTATTGTCTAGTAGACTAGTGTTGGGAATTTATAACCCCGAAGCTATAACTGAATTACACACGAATGCGTCGAAACTTGGTTATGGAGCAGTACTTTTGCAAAAAGGTGAAGACGGCAAAATAGGATGCATTTTGCCGTCTTCGTGACTCAAGTTTAAAATTGTGACTGATTGCGCAGCGCTATCCATGACTTTACGGAAAAATGATTTGTCACCTAAGCTAGCGAGATGGGCTATGTTTTTGGGAGAGTTTCAATATGAAATGGAACATAGACCAGGTACAAAAATGGCGCATTGTGATGCTCTTTCAAGGAATATTTTAACTGTTACTATTAATTCCCAATTAATCGAGCAGGTGAAACGAGCTCAAGCTGATGATGAATATGTCAGAGCAGTGATAAAATTGTTAGAAAATAATCAACCGCACGAACACTATCAGTTGAAGTACGGGATATTGTATAAAACTGTACAGGGAACAGAATTGATTGTAATACCAAATAAGATGCAAATGGAAATGATAAGGAGAACGCACGAGAGTAATGGGCACTTTTCTATCAGAAAAACTGAAGATATGATTTTACGAGATTTTTGGTTTCCAAAACTTAGATCGAAAATTGAACAATGTATTAAAAACTGCATTAGATGTATCCTAGCTGAGCGAAAATACGGAAAGCAAAAAGGTTTTTTAAACCCAGTCCCAAAAAAGGAAATTCCATTACAAACTTATATGGATCATCTAGGACCACTTGAAACTACGACTAAAGACTACAAATACTTGTTGGTAATCATTAATAGTTTTACCAAATTTGTGTGGCTATACCCTACCAAAACTGTTACAACGGAAGAAACTATTAGCAAATTGGAACAACAGACGATGATATTTGGTAATCCTGAGCATATTGTCACCGATAGCGGTACAGCTTTCACGGCAGAAAAGTTCAGGGCTTATTGTCGACGTGAAAATAAGATGAAATAAGTTCGAAGAGCCAACGGACAAGTTGAGAGAATCAACCGTATAATAATACCGATATTAACTAAACTAACTGTCAATGACGAGTCAACATGGTTTAAACATGTCGGTAAAGTGCAACTATTCTTAAATAAAACGTATCAGAGAAGTATTCGAACTAGTCCAGGTGAAATCCTATTTGGAGTACCTTTGAAACACAAAGACGAAGATGTGAGTGTTGCATGAGAGTTAGCAGTGAGTAACTAATAGTGAGAGAGGAACAGTCATTATTTAACCAAAGTGGTGTATTCTTAAGGTTGTAGGTGTTTGTAGTCAAGAACTAAATATTGACTTGTTGTGTATGTGCGTTTTATTTTTCTCACACCACATCCAGTTTTCCACATATATATAGAGACCCACTTAACAGCAAATGAGAGGGAAAGATAAAATAAGATATAAGAAATATACATGAAAAACATGTAGGAAAGAAAGTAAGAGTGAGATGCTAAAACGTATTAATCGATGTCATAAGCTCAAAACACTTGATGTCATACAACAAATGTTAGCATAGATACGAAACATTCCAAGGAAAACCATGTCAATTTATGACATTCCACCCATTATTGCTAATACTACACC